TGTGATGGTAGTATCAGATCAGAGGGACCAACCGAGCGAGCCAGACAGTCAATGGCAGGCGGGAGTGACGGATCCGATTACTGGACTCGGATTGGCCGATATCCGTGTGAGTGATTCACCGTTCGTTTAACTGATGTAAGGGAGGAACCTCATTGACTCAGAAGGGTCGTTAGTTATGGACTTGAACCTGCAATCTAGATCGAGGAGTTTGGCTTGCTAAACATGCTGTAATTTTCGCTGAGCTGTATTTGCCGAATAAAGCTTGTTCGTGAATGAATGAGTTCTGCAACAGTAGGGATCCCGATTAACACCCACGGCATGCTATACTTAAGTGAAAATCGAAAGGCGTCGTGGAGCGCGGTGTTTTCCGATGAGCAGCACCTAATTTCCTTCTGTTTCATCACCTACGGTCCCAGTGATCAAATTGGCTAGAGTACGTTTTAGCGCGAATGAGATTGCGCGTCGCAATCCAATCACACAACGTGCACTTCGAAATGACTGTACGACCAATTTTTTCGAATTCGCTTCCAGGCCAGAGCAAACTTCTGACCGACTCCGCACGGAGCCAATTGACGAGGAACCAGCCATTGCGAACGCCTTGGCGTTGGAGTTAACCAATGACAGCACCTTTACTTTGAAGCAAGACAACAAGAGCGTTTTACCTGCCACTGATAGTAAGAAAGCTTCCTCTAAATCATTTCTGGTGAACTATGTACTCAGACCCACTTTTACGTTTTCTGGACTAGGCTGAAGGTTTTTTGGAGCCTTTCGTCTTCTGATTTGTTCAGTGGCTGATAAAGGATTCGAAATAGCTAGGTCAGGAACACATCATACGTCATTCGCGGGGTATCCTGGTTGACAAAAAGCAGAGCAGTTCGTGGAAAAATATGTTATCTGCTTCTTAGTTGTAAAAAAGTACACAATGGAAGAGGACAAAATGACTACGCGCTAGGAACAAACGTGATATCTTGATTGAAAGGAACAAAATGCGACTAAAGTGGCCAAATGACCAGCGAATCGGAATGCCGAGCGATTGGGAAGTACGAGAGAACAGATGAGCACAGAGGTGCGAATGCACAGAGAAGACGATTTGGAGCAGCGCAGCTATGGTGAGCAATGGCGACACCGAAAGAAATGCATACCACAAAGAAGAGAAAGCAGAATGGAGTGTGGCGATCAACATGATTGGGATCGCGATATGCGAACAGGAAGTATGGTTACCGGGGTAACAACAGGTATAAAGAGATGGTAGCGGTGTAACGTAGCAATGTAAGCCAAAGCGGTGATCGAGCGTAGTTCAGGTAACAAAGGAATGAGGGTGGGGTGAAAGTAGCGCTTAAGTAAATTTGATTTTGTGCTTCGAGTAGATGGAGCAGCATGGAAACGGGTCCAGTGTTAATCAGACGAGTTGGCAACGCAACCTCAGTACGAATTGTCAGCGTAAGAGTCGGGAGAAGTGGTGTAGCGAAACGGGAATTGGAGAAGGAAAGTCAAAGAGGCGCCGTAAAGTTATACAACCGGATGACTTTGCCCAGGGCGTCGCGGGCCGTTAGCGGATATTTCAAGCGACGGGGAATCGAAGATGGGGCGGGACAAAGCGGGATCTGCGGCGTAATCGTGAATGAAAGAGCCTTGTTCGTTGTAGTCCTCTGAAAGGGAAGAGTGAAAACTCACGCGTGAGCGCCAACTGAAAGGAATAAGGTGAAGGACATGCATATTGTTAGAAGTAAGCAAGAGTTAGCACCAATGTTAAGTATCCATCGGGTGCCGAGATGGCCAACACCCTGTCTTTTATTCCCCTCCGTCTAATTCTGGGGAAGCTGAGCGCATGCAGCGACCATTGCTATGAACGCTTGTATTTGTTGGGAGTATGTGGTGTGCACGGTGGGGGGTTAGATTGAACGCGGAAAAGAATAAACTCGAAAAAGTGCCACATCGAATCGCGTACCACATCACAGGAGTTTTGAATCCCGGTATGCTTTCCTGTGACAATGACTTTTTCACAACTGCCTAGCGTGTGTTTCTGGTGGACAGTGGCAGATGAAAGGGGGTCGTTGTTAGCTCTCTTTGAAAGTGATTCGATAACAAGCACTAGGACTAAGTCATCAAATCAATCGTGAAGGCCAAGACCCAAGTAGCAGGAGGCCTCAGGGTAGGCACGAGATCCTTTTATTGCTTTTGAGAGGGCTCTACATCGACGCTTGAATTAAGTCTCCAACACATTTTGGGGACTTGCCCCAGGAAGCGGAATGTGGCCAAGGTTCGCGCTTACTCTACTGAGCGGGGAGGAGGGCCGAGGTGCGCAGTAGACTGCGACCTGAAATGCGGTGGACACCCCACTCTAACAGTTCATTGATGTCAACTGCGTCCTTATCTGTAGATTAGTAACCGGATATCGTCAAATACTTGGTTAGACAACCCAGAAGATAAACCATTATGGATGTGAAACGAGCCATCGCGATAAGCACACACTGCGGTAAGTCAACCGGAATGAACATTCTACCGAAAGAGAGCCAAATCTATGACTCAGCGATCCTGCACATAAGCACGAGATGAGAGATAAATATGTTTCGCATAGTCAAATCGAGATACACACAAACGAATCGCTCGCAATGGTGGACACCCTAAAGGTGTATCGTCTCTCTGTGGACTGTTTTTCTATCACCAAAGCGACAGAAATGCAAGCGCGCCGTTACGTGACAGTGTAGGTTGGCAATGTGTGTGCTCGTGTTTCGATCTATTCAAAGGTCACGCCGGAACGCGTGCACACACACACACACAACGCACGCAACGATTGAGTCATTGACTTCTGGTTAAAGGTACACACCCTGACATGGCAACAATCGTGTACAAGACTACGTGATGTGAAAACACATTTGAGTTGGCTCAATTCCGCCTGATGCTGCTCAGATTCGTGCACACGCAACCGGTGCAATGGTCGTGAATCGAGGCTACGCAACGGTCACCAACCAGCAGCATGTCTGTTGCATTGCAAGTGGTTGACGAGATGAAACGACAGATTCACGAATGAGGTCAGTGAACACGGACACGGAAATGTTGTTTCTCAGCAGCGAAACCAGTCGTCTATCGAGAACAGATTGATAAGTATGTCTGTGGAACTCGTCGTAATTCAAGCAAACGTGAGAGTGGTGTAGTTGCATGAATTGCATGATCCACCGCCGCCCGTGGCTCCAGACGGCAGACGAGAAGTTGGTTATCAAATCCGCGGAATTCCGATACAGAATAGTTCTGAGAGACAGACCTCATAACACGAATGTCTCATCATAGACGTGGCTAGTATCGGTCACATAAGAGGCGGAGGCTGTGCTCGTCTGTGAGTCGCACAGGCGGCGCAAAGGAAGCGACCAACTTAGCTAGTATGCACATGAAGTTTATTCAGCAAAAGGCAATCAGTAAAAAGATAGAAGGTGAATCGTTGGCAGGCATAACCCTGGATGTTCAACGTCAAGTGATCCGATCTAAAAGAAGTTGAGTTGTGACGTGTGGGGATAATGGTAACAGCAATATGAACTTCATCGGGAACAGGAAGAGAGAAGCAATCGAACGAATAACCACCGATACAAGAACGCGAGTGCATTGAGTAATATATGGGCTAGCCGAGCAGACCACGAGTCAAGCTGCAACGTACCGAGACGCCCTGACAAGCATGTGACGCAACGTAGTCATCTAGCCACTATCAAAGTTGCCAGTTTGGTTGTCGGATCGTAACTCTGTTGACAAAAATCTTACTATTTGAGACCAATTGTGAAGTTCGATAGTTAGAACACCGAGAAGAGTATCTTCCAGTTATCGCCAGAAGTTAGCTTCTTGAAGTAAGCCTCTAACACATAGCTGAGGTCCCAGTAAAATCGGCTAATGTTAAAGTACCGTCCAAGGACATTCTTCAAGAGCATGTCCCAAACAGAAAGTGGGTTTCAGCTATGTCGAACCTGCATTATTCGTTACTGTAATCTCTCAGGCGTCCAAACAAGAAATAGTAGCACTGTTACGCGGAGAGCAATTCGGATTTCAGCAGGAGAGGAACGAATAAGGTATGTGTTCTAACGTCAACGACAATCGGACATAGGCCACAGGCTTAGGAATCAGACCATTACCGACTATGCTGAGCCTGAGACGGAAGCTAAACACAGAAACAATTTGTAAGCATTGATGGGTAGGTGTCTACACGAAGGAAGTAGGTAACAAAAGTAAGAAAAACCGGGCAAACGTTCATACGCATACAACGCTTTCGATCCATGCGCCATCCACACAATGTTGCCGCCAGGACACTGCGGAGAATGTCGTCTGTTTCAAGGACTTCAGTTATGTTCGGGTGATAGGCAGACTTTACATACCGGCTTACTGAGGATGGGTGCATCGGATTCACTGCCAAGATGTGGGACCATTCAGAAACAAGGTTATACGACTGACCAAGATGGTTTCATATGGGACAGTTGACAAATTGGTTAAGCAGATAAAGATCCCTCGAGAATTTGCGGCTAGTAGTTTTAGCTCATTTATCTCACTCGTCAGGAGCGCGGAGTTACACACAAGTCTTGTAGGGACTGGACGCTTTGACTGCAAACCCTCTCGGAAAGTGACCGAGTGACTGAGGAACTATTCCGCACAGCGGGTTCTATCAACTCTCCGCAAGCTTCCTGCAGCTGACCACGTGGCCAACAGACCGATTGAGTTAGGCTCTTTTAACAAACGAAAACATCAGTCCCTGGCGTCATGCTGTTGAGCGCTTTTGCTCAGGACACCGAGACGCTAGCGCAAGTGGAACCCAGGTCAGTGTTCAGAGAGTTGCGAGGATATCAAATTAATGGTGTATCAGATGCCGAACAGTGCAATTAAAAGGTAGTTTTGAGGTTGTTTAGTCTATGCACTTGACTGTTGATGCGGCATCTTTCATCGTGCGTCGCGGAACCTGTCACGCGTGTCATAAGTGGTCACACAGGTGTGTATTCGGGATGGTCGGCTGCCTCAAGTAATGGGCTGCTGAGAAAATCGCAGTGTGGTGTGTGGATAGGTAGAGGTCAAAAGGCTTCAGAGCTAGATTATTTTGAGGGCGTCGATTTGCAGGGCGGAAGAAGAACAGGTGTGGTCAGTTGGCGAACCGGTCTCAGGTTGACGCCCATTGATGCTCAGATTAGCCATGTTGGACAAACGCAGAGGTTAGTGGTGTGACCTCATCGGTGAGTCATCGAGAAACCGATAGCCGATAAGGACATGATGAAATTGTGTAATGGCGAACCAGGTGCGTTGGTAAAATCAAGGAGGCACATGCATAGTGAGACGAGTCCGACTCAAATAGTACGCAAACATCACCAAACAGTTAAACACAAGTGCGAGTCGGAAGAGGGACTATGGTGAAATAGAATGCTAAAGCGCATAACGGTCGTTGGCCAAGGGTGGATGTAGTTGTTGAGCTGAAATTGAACCACTGTTACAGTGGCACCGAACGATTTAGCACAAACGTTACGTGAGGAAATAAAACATCTATTGTCCCAATGCTTCTTGATAGACCGATTGATGTTACAACTTGCCCTCTTAGGATTAACGCCAAGTTACTAGCTCCCGGACGGAATTTCTCTCCTGTCTGAACAATTGGGCTCGATCTTACCTCTAATCACGAGGATATTACTACAAACCTTCTCGGCTGGCTAGCCGAACAACCTCCCGTGGTGCCAGCTGTGCGGTTCGGGTTTACCCCCTTCCAGCATATAGATCGGCGGCCGTGTTTCAGGACTTGGTGGGTTTTCGCCAGGCAAGCGTTTTCCCTATAAAAAGCCACAAATGTCAGTTTAAGCACACGGTGACGCGGCGGATGTGACTGGCCTCTAACTAACTAACTACCTCTTACGTATCCGGATGAACTAATCCAATCCACGGACGTGAGTCATTCAATACGAAGATTTCATTTCACGCCCTCTCACGCATGAGCGAAATCGATCACAAATGCAAGGGACACAATCGCACTCGTTCTTACCGACATGCATTCATACACACTTAACACATGGATCCAGATGTTATTTATGAACTTGTGCCGCTTTTACATTAACCAGAACTTGTTGTATCACCATGATAAGCCCTATGCAGGCGTCTTGCACTGTCGAGAAGAAAACATTTATTTATTTAAGTCCATCTCCGCAATGTATCATATTCCTAAGCATGATCGTGTTCATGCAGATGGCTTCCCGTCGGACCAATTATTAGTTCTAATGCATCTACCACTTATGCAACTGCTACGAATATCCAGACAGTCAGCGCACAGGATGATTCTCCACAGGTGTGTGTGTGTGACGTCATTTCGCTTAGTGCCATTGTGGCCGACGCATCCATATGTTTTCGTCAAACATCTGATCAATCCATACAAATGCGCCTCCCGTACTATGAGGACAAACAATTTATCTTGTTTATTCCACGTACCATTCGTACTCTTCCATATAACAGTAAATAAATAGTTATTAATAGTAAGTAGTAGGGGATTTATTAGGTTTTTGTAAACATTCGTCGCAGTTAGACACAGGCAGACAGCCACCACACATCCAGGAAAGCGCTAGACGGCCGTTTCGTCCTTTTGGGATTCGTCAGTAGCGCGCACCTGTCGAATCCTGCCGGATTCGAACCCACGACCTTACTCTTG